AGATTTTGATTGGTCCATTTCCAAACTAGTCTGTTGGTTCCACTTATCACGCTAATCTCTCTAATCGACCTCATGATCATTAATTACTTGGTATTGAATGAATTAGGTTATTATGACTATTTATTGATATACTTTTAATTCTCGATCGTTTTACTGGATCGAATTGTTCGACGTCTATTGGCATATGGGCGCCTATTATTATTATTTGTCCCTTGGATACCTTATGGAACATAGGGCTTCATTAGCACGTCTCCAGTGAACTCTGTTCTCTAAAATCTTTTGAACCTGGCTCCACCACTGCCCACAACCTCTCATTTCCTCACCGCACGATCTCCTCCATGTCACCCTCAGCTGGAACGCTCAACTCGTCGTTTCCCATCTGGGTTCCACTCGAGTACCTGGCCTGATGCGTGATGTCCCCAATCGGCCTTCTCACTGTATGCCCAATCCATCTCCACTTCCTTCTACTGCATATTTGTTCAGAGATAGCTTCTTGGTTGGCTCGTTACCAGCCAGCCAGCCAGAGTTCCTTTTTACTTATTCCTATTATTCTGGCCATCTCAGCTTCAGTAACGAGCCAGAGTAGGCAGTTGTTGATGAATGTCTGTAGTTTGTTGCAAATCCCTTTCATAACTCGCCAAGTCTGTGAAGCATATAGAAGCACTGAGTGACTTGACTGAATTGGTATTGAAAATCCGGATATTGTTGACGCTTTATGCTGAGTGGAGTGTAGAAGATCTCCACACTGATTTCAGGTTAATGAACTCTTGTCTTGCTTTTCTGATCCTGGCTGACTTTGACGTCCTCGTCTGTGCCTGTGCCATCTGTAGTTGAAACGATGCTGCCTTGCCTAGGTGGTGGGTGGAAGAGGCTACTTCCTTTAAGTTTCTCCTGTTGATGGTGATTGGAGCTTGTTGTTGTTGTTGTTGTTGGTGGTGGTGGTGCTGTTTGGATATCTTCATCACCTCTGTCTTCTCTATATTCACTTGAAGTCCCGTCTTCGCTGCCCTGCCTCTTTTGTCAACTTGTTAGTTTTCACCTGTAGATCTTCCAGTTTGTGCCACAAGATATTAGACACAAGTCATCGGTGAAATGCAAATCTTCTTCTGGGGTCTTTTCTCCTGTCCAGCCAGCGTATCCCCCTCTTTTCGCTTCTCACAGTTTGTTGCATGATCCAGTCCAGCCGACCACAATCAGGAAGATGATGGGTGATAATAGACAGCCTTGTTTCACTCCTGTCTTCACTTCAAAGGCATCACTGAGCTTTCCATTGTTGAACACTTGGCATGTGGCGTCTTCATATAGTTGTTGAATGAGATTGATAAAGGTTTGTGGTATTCCGTAGTGTTGAAGCAGTTGCCAAATTACTTGTCGGTCGACGCTGTCGAAGGCCTTTTCAAAGTGGATGAAGTTGAGGTAGAGGATTGACTGTCATCCTATACTCTGTTTATGGGCGCCTATGGGGATACTTAAGTGGATCTACTGGATGTTTAAGTCTACAAAGTCTCTCTCTGAGTGATTTTGAGGGTTTATATGCCACCATAATCCTGACGTTGTCAAGACTCCTACCCTAAACTTTATCATGTCTTTTCTTTATGTGGTAACATTACAGAGGATTTGAATTCACTCTTGGCTATGTTACAATTACCGTTAATATTATTAATTTCTCTCTTATGGGTCTTTATAAACTTTTTAATGGGCTTCGAAGAGTAGTTATTAAGGTCTGTTTGATATATTTGAGTCCCGTATTTAGATTTTTTTATTTACTGGTCAGGTTGTTGACTCTATTATTTCAGCATTTTACTAAGTCTACCTTAACGCATATAGGGTGAGATCATGTGAAATTCAAATGTCTACTTGAGTGGGATGGTCTCCTATAGAGATTCCAGTATATAGACTTCTATCTTCTCTTCTCTTGATTTCGCAATCCAACATGGGCAATTCACCTTATCCAATTTCTAGTTCATAAGTGAATTCGATTGCATCTACTATTAGGAAAGCGCTGAATGTGTTCTGACTTTCAACTCAGTAAATATGTCAGAAAGAATAAACAACAAGGAACTCTGGTCTGGCAACGAATCACCAAGAACCTGTAACCCAACAAATATGCACAAGAAAGTGGGGATGGATTGGGCATACACTGAAAAGACCGTTTGGGGACATCACGCACCAGGCCCTCGAGTGAAACCCAAAGGGGAAGCGACAAGTTGGGCGTCCCAGCTCAGGGTGACATGGAGGAGATCGTGTGAGGAAGAAACGAGACCTTCTGGGCAGTTTTCCAGACAGTTTAAAAAGAGTGCAGAGAACAGAGTGAAGTGGCAACGTGTTACTGAAGCCCTATGTTCCACTAGGAACCCAAGGGAAAAAATAATAATAATAATAATAATAATAATAATAAATGTGTCATCTACATATTACCGCCAAAAGTATAAATATTGGATTTCGAGGTTTGTAGGGATTTTATTGATTTGAGGTATGTATTCATTATGGATTGACACCAGCTGGCGAAACATTGGAAATTTGGGAATACTGAACAGGTGTTTTGTCTTGGTGTGCGACTCCTCAGCAGTGTTCACCCGTGACCCCACCAGGCGTCGAACGCAGTACCTTCAGGTTCCCCAGTCAGTACGTTACCATCGAATCACTGGGTTGGAATCCAATGGTCCTCTGGAAGCCAATTACCAGTATATATATGAAATATTCTGTCACCGTCTACATCGTGCTAGTCTTATTCTCAACAAACCAAGATAATTGACCTAGTTTCGTTCACCTTAGCTGTAATTAATACACACAACTATGTCTAGACAGGAATTCCTTTACAATAATCATTAAATTTGGTGAAAGCTCTTATTTACCCTTCTCGTTGTTAGTCAAACGCCTGTTGTGTAATATTTTTTGAAGGTAGTGTAATCTGGTAAGTTTTTTTCCGATGTAGAGAATTGTGTTGCAAGGTTACAAAGGAAGAGGTATGAACTTTTTCAAATTGGTAAGTGTCCCATCGAGAGTGTGAAAGCTAAATGAAGCACATAGTGCTAATGATTTTTTTCCTGATAAAAAATCTATCGATTTATTGTATTTTGAGGTTAATGGGGACTTATTTCTGAGGAAGTATTCATCACGAGCTGACATCACCATTGAAAGTCTAGGAGTACTGGACAACTGTTTCTTCCTAGTATAGGGCTCCTCAACAGTGCGCGCACACGACCGGACCCACCAGGTATCGAACTCAGGGCATTCAGGTTTCATGGAAGACGTGTCAACCATTCAATCACTGGGCTCCGAGTTTCACGGTTCACACTTTCTTACTTCTGTCAATTCGCGATGTAGCGCTGGTTTGAATCCGGCCACGGTCTAAATTTTTATTCCACCTTCAATCATCACCCAAATTTATCACCATCAGGATGATTTATGTGTCTATATTTGGCATTCTTCAAACTGCATTATTAGTACAGCGAATTGACTCATCAATTATCAGATTAGTCTTATTGCTTGTTGATTGGACTGAATTGATCCGTCTTTGTTGACATATGGGATCCTGTGCGGATGCCTCGATATATTTGTGTTTTAGTTATAGTAAAGATGGATTGTGGCTATCAGTGGAATCTAGGATGCTCAACTCGTTCTATTTGGGACTCATCAGCTGGACGTGAGTGGTGTTGTTCTTACTGGGACTCAGACTCGGGACCGGTAGCTTCAAACGCCAGAGCGTAATCCACTACACCATCGAGCCACGATAGCCACTTCTTGTGCGACAGGTATAGTTTTAGTTTTATTGCTTGTATTACACTGTTGTTGATTGTACCGAATTGATGTTTACTATAACTAGAACACAGGCAATATCGAGGCATCCGCACAGGATCCCATATGCCGATAGAGATCGATCAATTTGGTCCAATCAATGCCTGTATAATACAAGGAATAATACTAAAACTATACCTGTCGCACAAGAAGTGGCTCTCGTGGCTCGGTGGTGTAGTGGATAACGCTCTGGCGTTTGAAGCTATCGGTCCCAAGTCCCAGTGGGGACAACATCACTCACTGGGAGGCAGGTACATTCAGCTGATGTGTCCCAAATAGGATGAAAAGGCGCATTCTGGATTCCACTGTTAGCCGCTATCCATCTTTATTATAATTATCAGATTATTCTAAATACCCTAATAATTATTTTCATCAATAATGTCTAACTTTGTTGTTTTCGAAGCATTCAGTTACTTCATACAATCATGTATTAAAAACACTCAGAAGAATTTTATCTATGAGAAAGGATCTTTTCATCTGAAACTTGATATTCATCGCCGATTTTGTTGACTAACAAAGTTGTGATTTATTGGTACTCGTAACTTCCAGTTGTTATATTACGCATAACTCATCCCTACTCTTACGTTTCATTAATTTCTGAGTTCTGCCTATACCTACTTATTGTTTCCCCTTATTCATTCTTGGATTCTGGAGAAAAAACTATGCTGTATTACGTAGAATTTTAAAGGTGATTAGTAGCGCAAGTGGTACACAGCTAACCATGCATATGAACTCTTGTAGTAAGTAAGCTCTGGCTAAAAATATTTTATATTATGACAAACATCTGTATCCACATCTCTCTCCATGTCTGTCCTCTGGGAAGACAAAAAGCAAATTTATTAAACTCTATGCAGGCACAACTATATACAAAAATTCAACCATACCACCTTATTTAGGTTGTGCATTGTGTGAGAGATAGTCTTATCCATCAAATTTGTAACAGCGAACAGTTATCATGACCCTGAAGTCATTAAACATTTCAATAACCATGTTACTCTTTAAAACGTGTTGCTAAACGCGCTGTTGCTAGTATATATTGGGAACATATTGTACAATAAGTAAACTGGTACGATATTACGTGCCAAGAATTCTGTACTGTAAACAAAATTATAGTTCGGAATATAGCAAATATATTATTATTATTATTGTCATCATAGAATTGTTCGACCTCTTTGGCCAGATGGCGGACGCTTGGATATTGTCTAAATGCTCATAATGTTATGACTCACTTGGTAGTGGCTTACAGTAGAATTTAGAACTTGTATGTCTTCCTAAGTGGGATTTGTCAGGTCACCTCAGAGAGTGGTGCAATTATATTTTGCGTATGATCCAGTTCTGTTGAAACAGTCAAGACCATCTTTTTAATCCTGTTGTTGCATATTGAAATTTCATCTAGAATGTGCGTTTTATCGGTTAATTCGCCTTACTAAATGCCAATGTAATCTAAAGATATTTATTATCCGCGCTTGTCATCTGATAACTAATTTGCCTGACTGAAAATTACAAGAACAGAATTATGCTAATCATGAGTAGCAAATCGTTTAGTGCAGAAATTATTCAACTGATTTGAGCAGTTTATTTATTTAATAAAATGTAAACAAACTGATCTGTAAATAATTACTAGTATGTACAAGATTTCTTTATTAATTCATCAATTAGTATCAAAATAAATGTAAGTCATTGTTTTACGTCTTTAATGACAGATTCCTTTTTTCCTGTATCCATGGTGAGGAAGATTATCAAGTTACTTTCTTTCAATCGTTCAGGAAAGTATTGACAGTTTATAATCCTGAGCTGAGTTATAGAGGATAAATCCTCGTTCAACGGATCAGTCACTGAATTTGATTTATTATATTCCATCGAAAGTTGGCTGGATGATGAAGATAATATTTCGAAGATGATGTAGTAGGATTTAGTGTATGCGTTATTTTTGGTGTGAGAAGAAATGCTGTCGCTAGATTCGAATCGTTTATTGTTTCCAAATTTTCAACTGATAACTTTCGTCCGTCTAAAAATTTTCAGATAAGAAGACTGACTTTATCATCTTCAATAATATCTTTATATGATAAAGTATTATATGGATGTTAGGTGTTTAAACATCACAGTGTATTTCGAGCGAAAGTTTCTAGTAAGATTCAGTCTAGTTAGTAGATTTTGGAAGGTGTATTTAATTGGCTTACACCCGATACCATTACATCTCAGAGTCACAGTTTCTCCTGCTTAACGAACGTTCTCACAGTTAGAGAAAGTTGGATTAAGACTAAGGATGATGATATACCTGTAGATGTCATTTTCATAGACTTCAGTAATATGCTCAACAAGACACATGATTCCAAGTGGCTTGGGAAACTGGAAAGTTTTAGAATCACTAGCAATCTACTTGTACGGATCAGAGAGTTCCTTATTGGTAGGAGATAAAGAGTATTGATCAATTCTCAGCTCTCCTTTTGGAAGTCGATACAGAGTGGAGTGCCGCAAAGCAAACTCCTGAGTATCCTGCTATTTCGCCTATACATGAATGAACTACTAAATAACACGAAATCTTCTATGGTTCTCTACAATGATGATGCGAAAATGTGGTGGGAAATCAGGGATGACGAGAATGAACGTGCACTTCAGTTGGAACTAGCCAGCTTGTTTGCCTGGTTAGAGAAATGGCTGATGCTTATCATTGGAAGTAAATGTGTTAGCATGCATATGGGACGCATGGATGGGAACACCTACGATATTGGTAGGACTCCACGATGACCTTATTATTATTTGTCCCTTAGGTTCCTAGTGGAACACAGGTCTTCAGTAGCACGTCTCCACTTCACTCTGTTTTCTGCAGTCTTTTGAATCTGGCTGCACTGCTGTCCAGAAGCTTTCATTTCTTCCTCACACCATCTCGGACTCTTGACTCGTCGTTTCCCATTCGGCTTCCACTCGAGGGTCTGATGTATGATGACCCTAAATGGTCTTCTCAGTCTGTGCCCAATCCAATTCAGTCCATCTCCACTTTCTGTTTCTGCATATTTGTTGGGCCACAGATTGTTTATTGGTTAGTTGCCAGAGTTCGTTGTTGTTCATTCTTTTTGGCCATCTAATCTCCATCTTCATTATCGAGTGAGCGTAGGCGGCAGCTGTTGATGTATGTCTGCAGTTTGTTGGAAATGCTTTTCTTAACGCGCCAAGTCTCTCAACCACCACATAGAAGCACTGACTTGACTGAATTAGTGTCGAAAATTCGGATCTTGTTCACGCTTTATGATGAGTACAGAAGATCTCTACACTGATATCAGATCAATGAAGGCCTGCCTTGCTGTCTTACCGATCCTGGCTTTGACGTCCGCATCTGTGCTGCCTGCAGTTGAAACGATGCTGCCTTGCCTAGGTAGGTGAAAGAGACAACTTCCTTTAGATTTCTGCCGTTGATGGTGATTAGTACTTGTTGTTGGTTGGGTATCTTCATCACCTATGAGTTATGATTTGATGACCACTGCACACTGTTGTTTGTAGCTCGGAGTTTTACGACAATTTAGACATCATGCAGAAAGTTTGTAAAAATAAGTGGTGATATGAATACCATCTTATACACATCCTGAGTTGAGTTTTAGCTAGAAAACTGTACACAGGCGGTAAATCCTTGTCTGAAGGGTGAATCAGGTCTTTTAGAAAGAGTTCAGTGGATAGCCACTCATATGATCCCTGCGATAGCTGACCTGACCTACGACGATCGACTTAAGGAGACGAACTTCTTCTCTTTATTCCATTTCAGAGAGTCGGGAGATCTGATGATGCTATACAGGATTCTAGGAAAAGACTCTGGACTTGATCTAGTTCCCTTTTTCTTTTCTACTAGGTCGGAACACCTCAGAGGACATAGTAAGAGAATACAATAGCAAAAGACAAACAAGCGTAGACTGTACTGAGTACTGGTCCTCTTGTCGAGTAATCAACTCCTAGAACCGACTCTCAGAAGAAGTGGCGTGTGCGTCATCGACTGATTCGTTCAAAATAAAACTGGAAAGGGATAGAGGTCTACTGGAAAATGCTCAATATTGACTCACAGTCTTCTATCCTCAAACAATAAATCTGAATCTGAATTAGCTTGTCACGGTGTGTCAATACCTAAAACACATTTAGTCTTTGATTTGGTTATTGGTAATAAAATTATCAAAAGTGTATCAAGTGGTTCCTTGACGTCCTTTTCTAGATCAATGGCTTGTTGGTCCAGATGTTCAACTGTTAATCAATATGTATAGTAATGATGGGCAGTGGTAATATCGAGACATCCGCACAGGAGCCCGTATGCCATCAGAGACTGATCAATTCGGTCCAACCAACGACGGTGTAATAACAAGCGATAACACTATTAATCAATACATTGACAGTGTTCCCTCCCCTTCACTTATCGACCTTTAACTTGTTTCCTAGTATAGCTTGCATTCGCACCATAGGAGTTTCTCATCGTTTAATATCCAGTTACTGAAATTTGATGGTGATAGCTTCAGACCACTAATCATCCGTTACCAATCAGGTTAAGTGTCCCATTTTTTTTACCGTTTTATGCCCCCCGCCCAACAAAACACTCTTGGAAAGGTGATTTAACTTACGGGTTGGAAAAATTGGTATATGCTTCTCACTAGTATCATTCATGCATGCTTTTCTATGACAGGAATTATCACATTCATATATCACACTTGATGTATGAAAGGTTGATGCTTTATTTTGACATGGATGTACTTGATTAACTGTGTAATTGTGTACATTGTTATGCCCATATTCATGAGTAGTTAAAAGTTTCGGTGAACTGTTTGTGTTATTCGTTTTAGGATTATCTTCATAGTCGTTATGATGACTGCATCCTGTAGACTTTAAATAATTACCGTCATTTCTGCTGCTACTACCACTGTAATACTGATGATAATCACATGTTTGATAATTATTCGATGATAATAATTCAAATGATGTTAACTGATTGCATTGATGTGCTGGTATGCATGTATCATGGTGAATACTATGATAATATTGTTCTTGTTTCTGATTGGTTGGCTGACAATATTTTGTACAAATATGATTGGTTGGTATTGTTTGTTTAACTGTACAAAATTCTACTATTATAAATAGCGCCAAGTACAAACTAAGTGTACTTATAAATATAGTGAGCAGTAAATCTGTATAAAAAAAGAAGAGGAAAAACAGAAAACTATAGTTTTGTTATTTAAGGGTATGCGTATCTTGGCATCAGTAGTATCAATTTACTTTTTTTTAATTGTGAAATTCATCTAGTCATTAGGATTATGCAGTAAACTATGCTATTTAAATTCCTAAAAGATTGACTATTGTGAATTCTCTGATGGATTTCAAACTTTTAAATGGATTTTGTGTACCATGAGTTGTTTATATCATGAAAGTTGTAGATGACTTGATGATACCGTATTACATTTGTTTATCTGGTTCATAACATACAGCAATGCAGTATTATTCATTGGATGAAGTATTGAGCATAAATTATTACTGTTCATAATCATATCAATGTAATCACAACTTTCGACATTTAATTTTTATAGTTGTGTCACCTCATATGAGTTGTTTGTATTGGTAGTAAGATTTTCCAGATCTCTGGTATAGGTGTTGCATCATTCCTGTTATATGTTTTCGGTATTGATTCGATGAAGAAAGATTCAGTAATCAATCTCTCCCTCTCTCTCCACCTAATTATATTAGACTTAAATACAGTGGTTTTATCCTACCCATCCTATTGTGTGGTTGTGCGTTAATGTGTGCATTACAGTTGTCGAGTGTTTTTCAGGATTATTGATCGTATCAGGGTCTATCATTCTGTATTTGGCTAAATTCCTATGTTCGGCTATTCTACCTCACCTCGACTGGCTTTTTGACCTATACTCTCGACCTCGCAGTCAAACTAGCCGGTCGGGGTCAGTTAGATTAGCAGGACATAGAAATTTAGCTAAATGTAGAATGACAGACACTAGTAAGATCAATAATCTAGAAAAACATTCGGCTATTGCAATTCAGGCATAGTAACACACAACCACACAATCGGATGGGTGGGATAAAACTACTGTACCAAGGTCAAATATAATCAGTGGAGATCGGGAGAGATTGATTACTGAATCTTTGCTCGTCGAATCCAACATATGTAGTAGAAATGATGCAAACCTATGCCGGAGATACGGAAACTGTTACTTCCATTGAAAACAAAGAACATGAGGTGACAGGATTATGAAAATCAAATGTCGAAAGCAGTGTGATTGCACTGATATGATTATGAGGAGTAATTTATGTTTGAAACGCCATCCAGTGAATAATACTGCATTGCTCTGTGTTATGATTCAAACAAATAAATCTAATATAGAGTTAAATTCTGCCACATTGCTCAAGTTTTACCCTTGGTAGTAGTTGTCATCACAAGCTGAAAGCACGTGAACAACTATAAAGAATTACTTGAATGAAGTCCAGTGGTAAAAATGTTCTGATTTTGGTTAATTCTTGATGTAGAATAATCCTTGTCATCGATGAACTTCTGTCATCGTTATCGACTTCCGAGTATTCCTCACAAGTCATTGCTTCCCTTAGTTACTATAAAACTGAATGGTTTGTGAAGAACTGGCTGATTTCTAAATAGTAATAATGGGTGTAGACTAATATGAAGTCAACGTATACGAAACAGCTATATAGTGTTGTCTGATTCCGAATAGTTTCCCAGATAATGTTAGTTGTTGATAGTGTCTGTCTTTGGATCATTCGAATCCCCAGCAAAACACTCAATGAAGTAATTTTATTAGCTGAATAATAGTTTTTTTTGTTTTAATTGCATGGAACTCTTAACCATGTTCGATGTTACTTTGTTATCGACTGTCTTACACTGATTACTGACTATAACTTTTTCAAAGAAATATCAGTCACATTTAGACAATGTGGATTATTCCATCACTTCATCAATACAACTTTTAAAAGACATAGTTGTTAATTTATGGGAAATAATTAGTTCCAAAGCAGTTTTCATCATCTTAGAATAATTGAAAATCTTGGGGCATTGAACAATTGTTCCATCGTAGTTTTGGACTTCTTGATAGATTATACTCACGATCTCATCAGGGATTGTACTCAAGACCGTCAGATCTCGTGGTCAACATGTCACCATTTAACCAATGAGTTTTATTCGAATTGTATACATTTTCTCACTTCTGTCAACTCGCTATATAGCACAACTATTATCCAATGGTTTCGATGAGTATTTTTTTTCTCACATTCAACTTGGTTGACGTCATCAATTATTACTTCTCATTAGAACTTCAGGAAGCTCATTTTCAAGCAAGTCCGTGACAAGTATTGAAAGTACTTCAATTGGTGGTTTATGGCAATTTTGTAGGTTTTGCAGGACTGATAACTTGTCGATTTCCGATGATAACTGGTAAGAGAGAATACTAGAAACGATAATACTCATACTGTCGAAAGTCTGAATAGTATACATTGTCTACATTGAAACTTGTTGAAACAAGAATCATGCATTACGATTAAGTTGGTCGTACTAGTGACTTTGACTTACAAGCAATTTATCATATTCAGAAGCTGATTTTGTTTACTACTGAAGAAATGATAAGCATTGAAATCTACCTCCTATTTCATAGTTTTTGACAGGTTTTTAACCTATATCATTTGAAAAAAAAGTGGTACTTAAATCCATAAACTCTAATCGTAATTGTACTACTATTAATTTTCTCATTAAATAACCTAGAACTGGTTTAGTAAAGTGGATCTCAATAGTTGAAAGATTTCTAGAGTGACATTGAAGCATTATGAAAATCACATGGATGCAGCGGTCAGCTTTGATAAGATGTAACAATTAAATCAACTGAAAAGATTTAATCTGAATGAGTGGAAGTTATCAAATGAAAATGAAATTAATATAAGAGTAAAACTTGGGCATTGTGATCGATTGTAATTCCATTTTAGTCTCTTTATTTGAAATACCACACAGTGAAACAGTAGCATTTACTGGCTAACATTTCAGACACAATTTATTGTCCATATTCAGATCAGGTAGGTAACTCCACAACTTTGTGACAAGGATAGTAGAATTTTCCATATATCTGAGACAGGTGGGGAATCATTTCTATCACTGCGTGTATTTGGTGTTGATTCGATAAACAAACATTCGGTGATCAATCTCTCCCTGTCTCCACTCAACGAAGTTAGTTTTCAACACTGTCGCTCTATCCCACCCCACTGTATAATTGTGTATAATTGCTTGAAGAGCTATAGCCGAGCTTTTTTTAAATTTTATGTCTTATTAGGATCTACTAATCTTGATTTAGCTAAGTTTTTGTACTCTGTTATTCTAATCAACCCTGGTCGACTACTTTGACCGATGTACTTGACCTGGCAATCATTGCAAGGGATCTGGTAAACCAGATTATTTTGCTGAATTGTATCGATAAGATCTTTTTAAATGCTTAAGTGATAGAGCGAAAAAGCTTACTAGTAGATCGGAAAATCTACGACAAAAAATTAGACACATCAAGAATACCCTACGTCTCAACAATTACCCACCAAAATTTATAAATAAATTCATAAGAAATCGAAAAAAAATATTAGCGGTGTTCGTAGTAGTAATACACATGTTATTGATAATAATTCCACTACTAATGGGAATAATGGTGACAGGATTAAGAGGGAATTCAAAGCCTCTACTGTGTTATCATACAAGAAAGGCACCTCAGAAGTATTACGAAAAATTCTAAATAAGACTGGGTTTAAGGTGGCATTCAAACCAACAAACTCCCTTAGAAACAAGCTTTGTAGGGTAAAAGATCCTATCGATGCAATTCAGCAAAATAATTCGGCTTACCAAATCCCTTGCAATGACTACGAGGTGAAATACATAGGTCAAAGTAATCGACCAGGGTTGATTAGAATAACAGAATACAAAAACACCGAAATCAAGATAAGTAAATCCTAATAAGACATGAAATTTAGAGAAATGCTCGGTTATAGCTGTGCATGCGATGACACACAATCATACAGTAGGGTGGGGAATAGAGCAACAGCATCAAAAACTAGCTTAGTTGGAGGAGGCAGGGAGAGATTGATAACCGAATCTTTGTTTATCAAATCAACACCAAATACATGCAGTAATAGAAACGATTCTCTACCTGTCCCAGATATGTGGAAAATTCTACTATCCTTGTCATCACAAAGAAGGAGAGAAAATTAGGACCATATAGACTCTGTCTCAAAGTTGTGGAGTTACTTACCTGATATGAATATAGACAATAAATTGTGTCTGAAATGTTAGCCAGTAAATGCTACTGTTTCACTGTGTGGTACTACTAATAAGCAGACTAAAATGGAACCAAAATGAAATTGTTTCTATGTAGCATTCTGATGTTTGTTTTTTCCAAGAATTTTTTTCTTGATCACGTTAGGTTGATAAAGGATTAGGACTGAGATAGAAAAATTGTATTCGAATGAAATAATTCGTTTTTACTGATTACACGTTGATGTCTATCATAGATTAACATCAGTTGGAGAACCATTGGAAACCTGTTGGCACTGGACAGCTGTTTCGTTATGGTGTGAGTCTCGTCAGTAGTACGCAACTGTGACCTTGTCAGGGATCTTCGACCACTGGTTGCTGCTGTCATATCAACTTCAGGGAAGATTACATTTCCCTATACAGCTCAAACTAGCAGTCAAAGACTTCATGGATAGATTGATGTCATGCTTCAGTCTGGTCGCCATAAATCTTCCATCTTGAACTTTCTTCAGATAACATTTTGCGATAATGCGAACAGTGACTTAGGATATGCATTACATGTACCAGCCAGATGAGTTGATGGTAGTTCACAACCTCATGAACTGACTTTTCCTTCCTCTCCATCTTCTGCAAAAACTATATGCCTGACTCCTGTGTTACTGATGTAGTGTTACACTACATACTACTGCTATCAATAAAATTGGTATTTTGGGATTATCTACGAAACCATTGATGAGGAGTTAATGAGAAAGAAATATTTCTTCGCTTAATCTATCTTTTTTCTGTAAACCGTGGAGTCTACTATTTCTTGTTTTAAGTAGTACAACAGCGAAACAGTCAACTTACTTTTCAGATACATGTCTGCATACAACGTTGAAGTTCCATAGAACTGAGGAATTTCGAATTTTGACAGTCGTATACTCATACTGACCATACTAAATAAAAGAATAGTGACAACGGATAATTTTATAAGACTAAGAATAATTGCATACAGTTTCAATCACAAGAATAATGTGAACATGACAATGGGATATCTTAAGTTTCCTTCTGTTCAGGTAATTTAGTCGATGTAGTCAGTGTTTTGCGATATTCTGTCACTTCGTATTGATACCTTTATATTGTCAATAGCTTATGTGTAGTACCATTTGTATGGTGGTGCCTCATGATGGAATCCAGGATTCCTATTGGATAATAAAAACGTAAAACGTTTCTACTTTTGATGCCTACTGAGCAATGTGCAGTATTTAAGTAGTAGTTTCCTGAGTATACCTCACATCATGTACCTTCCATATCTATCGTAGTTAGCTTAAGTTTTTGTTAAATGATATGAGTAGAAGTGCGTAAAGTTCACGGGGAGATGTATATTCCAAACAGATAACCTTACTGACTACTCAGTATGATGATAACAAGTCAACGTAGCTGGATATACAAGCTAGGTACTTCACATATTTGAAGAAAGCATCTCAGGTTAATGTTGTTTAATACTTTATCCAGCTGACAAGTCCCAAATAGGATGAAACGGAGCAATATGAATATCTCAGGTTAACATTACAGCATCATTTTCTGGTTTCATCTTCCTTATTACTACCTAATTGTATTGAACTTTTAATAAATTCATCTCATTCCAATGTGATTGTTATACAGACTTGTTGAACACATTTATTGAACTCTAAAATAATGAGTCTGTAAACAATTTCAGTAACACTGTTAGTAGTATATAGAACTTACCTAGATGTAGATAACTCTGTATAAGGATAAGTAGATTTTGGGAATATTAAACGTGCTAAATGATTATTTCTGATTAAGTTATGCAATTCTGTATTGACATGATCTAAACGTGTCAATGCAGCACTTGCTGCTTCTCCACCTTTACTTATCTGTACTTCATGATATGTGATCAAATGACTACAATTCATTGTTGTAACTGTTGATAATTGTGGATTTTCAATAAGTAGATCAGTGGTAGACAATAGTGAGGTATTCCTTTGATAAGTTGTTGAAATTAAGCTCATATTTGATAGGAGGTAACGAAACTTCATAACCTGATTGATGAAAACAAGAAATATGAAACGAATATTTAGCAATTTATTTGAAATATGATATATCTTATAGGTTGTTATTCATCGTAGACCGACATCAGTTGGAGGAATAAAGGAAACTTCGGAGCACTGGACAGCTATCTCATCCTAGTACGGGGCCCCTCAGCAGTGCGCACCCAAGACCCCGCTAGGGATCGGACCCGTGACCTTCAGGTTCTGTGGCCAGCGCGTTACCATTGAGCCGCTGGGTCAGAATACAATGGTCCATATTTCTAACTTCTGTTAGCTCACGATATAGCTCAACCGCCACCCATACTATGACGAAACAGCTGTCCAGTGCTCCCAGGTTTCCTTTGTTCCTCCAACTGATGTCAGTCTACTATGAATAACAACTTGGAATATTCCAAATCCCCACAACTCCCTCAAACTTCAGTATATGTTATAAGATAAATATGGTAGAATCACACGATAATAGTCTGCAGTTCTCTTAATCCCATGTTCTCAGACATATTCTTAGGCCACCAAGAGGGTACCAAACTAAATGATGGCATAAAGGAGACAAAGATGTATTTTAGATATGTAGATGATACTTTCATCATATGTAAGAGCTAAGTCCATGGAGTAAAACTACTTAGATCTTTCAGTTCAGTTCATTCAGACATGAAATTCACATGTGAACATGAAACGTCAGATGGAATAAACTTCTTAGACTCGAGTATTCAAAGAAATGAAGACGATCCTATACTACGCAGAATTTATCATAAGCCTACTTAGACCGGTCACTATTTGCCATTTAATAGTTTCTGTCCAATCACCTATAAAAGAAGTTCCGTCAAGACTTTATTTTTCACGGCTACTAGACTATGCTCCAAGGAAGGCATCGATAATGAACTGGATACTGTACAAAAAACTTTGATAGATAGTGGATATCCCATAAAGTTTATCAATAAACAAACACTTCAAACTTAAAAATGAGAAAGTGAATGATACAACTATGCCAAGAAAGAACGTGTTCATCAGACAACCATTCAAAAGCGATGAATTGACTTCACAAAATAAACACCGAGTGAATGTATCCATCGCACTAACTTATCCAGCTGCGAAATTAACAGTTGTCTATAACACGAAGAACATGATCAGAGAAACTAATTTAGATGTAAGACCTCGTCATATTACCCCTAGCTGTATTTAGTTATTCACCTGTACTTGCAGTAACGTGTATGTCGGCTGGGCAGCGAAAATGGGACTTCAAGTGAATATAGAGAAGACAGAGGTGATGAAGATATCCAAACAACAGCAACAACAAGCTCCAATCACCATCAACAGGAGAAACTTAAAGGAAGTAGCCTCTTCCACCCACCACCTAGGTAAGGCAGCATCGTTTCAACTACAGATGGCACAGGTACAGATGAGGACGTCAAAGCAGTCAGGATCAGAAAAGCAAGACAAGAGTTCATTGACCTGAAATCAGTGTGGAGATCTTCTGCACTCCACTCAGCATAAAGCGTCAACAATATCCGGATTTTCAATACAATTCAGTCAAGTCACTCAGTGCTTCTATATGGTTCACAGACTTGGCGAGTTATGAAAGGGATTTGCAACAAACTACAGACATTCATCAACAACTGCCTACTCGGCTCGATACTGAAGATGGAGATCAGATGGCCAGAATAATGAGAATAAGCAAAAGGAACTCTGGCTGACTGACTGGCTAGGAACCAACGAAGCAAGAACCTATCAGTCAACAAATATGCAGTAGAAGGAAGTGGAGATGGATTGGGCGTACATTGAGAAGGCTGATGGGGACATCACGCATCAGGCCAGGTACTCGAGTGGAACCCAGATGGGAAACGACGAGTTGAGCGTTCCAGCTGAGGTGAGGGTGACATGGAGGAGATCGTGCGGGGAGGAAATGAGAGGTTGTGGGCAGTGGTGGAGCCAGGTTCAAAAGATTTCAGAGAACAGAGTTCACTGGAGACGTGCTAATGAAGCCTTATGTTCCATTAAGAACCCCAGGGAAAAATAATAATAATAGTTATAATAATATTCATCACCGACTGACATCAGTGGAGGAACCGTGCACTAACATGGGAGCACTGGACAGGGGTTTGATCATCTTATGAGACTCCTCAGAAGTATGCAACCTTAACCCGGCTGTAGGTTGAACTCACGACCATCAGGTTTCACGGTGGACGCTTTAACTATCCAGCTACTGAGTTGGAGTTCAGTGGTCCACGTGACTGTGGTGTCTATTACCGAGGAGTCTCATAATAGAACTAAATAGATGTCTAGTGCTATCAGGTTGTGCATGGTTCCTCAACTGATGGTAGAGAGTGATGAATACTATCAGTAAAATGAAACTCCCGTTAACTCCAAAATGTTTAAAATATGTGTCTTCGGCATGTATTCTGAAGAAAGGTAGCAAAACTAATGGATTAAACTAGAAATGTTCAATTCAGTGAGTGTATAAAGAACTGAAGACATGAAGCGTTATTTTATTACTATCTGGTCTTTAGGTACCTATTGAAGCATACGGCATCAGCCACACGTCGCCATTTCACTCTCTTCTCTGCAGTCTTCACAACCTTGTTCCACGACTGCCGAGAAGCTTTCATTTCTTCCTCACATAATCTTCTCCATGTCACCCTCAGCTGGGACGCCCGACCTGTCGTTTCCCAGTTAGGTTCCAGTCGATGGCCTGGCCTGGCATGTGATATCCTCGAGTGGTATTTTCAGTGTATGTCAAATCCAATCGATCTTCACTTTCTGCTTCTGCATATTTGTTGGGCGATGGGTTCTTGGTTAGTTCGTTGCCAGGGCAGAGTTTCTTGTTGCTTATCCTTATAATTCTGACCATATGATCTCCAACTTCAGTATCGAATGAACGTGGGCGACAGCTATTCATGCATGTCTTTAGTTTGCTGGAAATGCTTTTCGTAATGCGACAAGTCCCTCAACCATCGTATTGAAGCACTGACTCACTTGACTGAATTAGTGTTTTTAATCTGGGTATTATTCACGCCTCATACTGAGTGGAGTGGAGTGCAGTTGATCTCCACACTGATTATTTCAGGTTGATGAAGGAAGGCCTGTCTTGGTGTCTTTCCGATCCTGGCTGCTGTGGCATCCTGATCTGTGCCTGTGCCACCTGTAGTTGAGACGATGCTGCCTGAGTAGGTGTAGGTGAAAGAGACAACGTCCTTTAGATTTCTTACATTCATGGTGATCGGTGCTTGTTGTTTGGGTATCTTCATCACCTCTGTCTTCTCTACGTCCATCTGAAGTCTCGTCTCCGTTGCCATGCCTCCTCTGCAAACTTGTTGGTTTTTGCCTGTAGATCTTCGAGTTTGTGCGATATTAGATACAAATCATCATGGGTGAAATCGAAATCTCCTTCTGCGGTCTTTTCATCGGTCTAGCCAGCGTATGCCACTCTTCTCTCTCCTCACAGTTTGTTGGATGGTCCAGTCGAGTCGAATACCATGAGGAAGATTATCGGTGGTAGTAGGCAGCAACCTTGTCTTACTCCTATCTTCATTTCAAAGGCGTCACTGAGCTTTCCATTGTGAATCACTTAGCATATAGCGTCATCATATAGCATATAGGTGTTGAGTGAGATTAATAAAGGTTTGTGGTACTAAAACCGTTGTGTTGAAGCAGTTGCCAAATTACTTCTCGGTCGAGGCCTCGAACGAAGGTCTTTCCCAAACCGATGAAATTGAGGTAGAGAGTTGACTGCCATCTATGCTCTGTTCTAGGATGATGCATAGCGTAGCGTTGTGATATGATCCGCACACTATTTGTTTTTCCTGAATGTATCCTGTTCCGGTCGTAATTCTGAATCCAGAGTATTTTTTAGTTTCTCCAGGATGATGTGGCCCATACTGCCAACTGTTTCGCCTTTAAACCGTGTATCCAACACTACTGATGATTTTAGAAACTCCTTGCTCTTTTATAACTTATGAAAGCTGAATTTAATTCTGATGGTAGCGAAGGGTGTATACACCTTAGACGTTTCAGAAAAGTGCAAAGTATCTTTGTTAGTGCAAAACTTGTACACCTAGGCCAAGTATGATTGCATAATAAACTTTTGTTTATTTAATGTGGTGTACCGTGAATACGTTTTGTTTACTAGATCCCGTTATGAGCACACACTTTATTGCTTATCGTCATATCAAAGTAATTACAATTCATTATCTGCAATGAATAAATAATTGTGCTTATTGCGTGTATTGGACAGTCAGTCAATCAATCTCTCCAGCCACCTAGCGATTTCCGAATTGTCACCCTACCCTACCCAATAGTATGACTATGAGTCATGGCATACAAAAAAGTAGATGAGCTATTCACTAAGCTTTTGTGCTCCTTTATTCTGAACGAACCCAACCGGCTACTCTGACAGATGTATTCGATCTTACAACCATAGTCTGTTATTTGGCAGGTTGGGTCATTTTACCAAATCGCATTTAATGGATCTGTTCGCCTACAGCATTTCTCTCTGACTGGGTTTGTGAGTTTTGAGGCTGACCTCATTCAAGATTTACTAAGATTCCTAGGTAGACTTACCAATGTGCCATCTTTATATAACAATGTCGTCATCAGTATCGACATTGAACGAGAGATTAGTGCGTAACGGCCCAAGTTACTGCACTTCATATCAGGACACTAATTAACAAGGCAACAGAACGAAAGATAAAGAAAGGAAGAACAGTCAGCCAAAAAAAGCAAGAAGTAGTAAGAGAGGGGAAGGAGAAATAAGAAAATGCTGAATTCAGTATAGCTGTTGAAATAAGGATAATGTTCTGATACATCTCCATCACTGAGATCGATTCTAAGCCATGTCACCTGATTTCTGTTGTCACATGATGTTCATTCTGCGGTATTTATATATGAATGATATAATGCTCCGATGCGATACGATTAATGATAGAACAATTACTTCTCAACACTACACTCAACTGACACCAAATGTAGAATAAGGTATATTTGCTCCTACCGAATAGTGCGATCATTAAAAGTGTAAAATGAACCAATCAGCGTTTAGTATCTTGAACCGCGGTAAAAATAAGTAACACTGCATGGAACCAAAAATACTCGAAAATAAGGTTTACATTTTACGATGATAATGTAATTTTAGGGATGAGCTATTCTTTATACATGGATCCTAACCGGCTAGTCTACATCTCCCTAGTTAATGACTTCATAGACTGATGCTATGTTTTAGTCTGGGCGTGTTGAGTCATTTTGTCACCTGAACCCACTTCAGTTAACATTGCATGGCAAGGCAAATGGTGACTATGCATGTGTAATGCATACGATAGCATTACAGAAGATTGAATTTCCTTCTTTATAATATTACAATTACTAGTAATGAGATCATATCTATTTCCTTTGTAAATCCATATATAGTTTTATAATATAGTTATTAAGTGTTAGTTTCCTTTTGATAGGTTTAATAATCTCCTCTTTTAGATTGTCTGACTTACTAGTCAAACTCATGACTTTAATGACTTAAACATTTCAAGCCCAATGTATACAAAACAACAAATAATCATATATTGCAGATATTCGGTTAGTTCTACTACTACTAAAAATGTAAGAATTTTGAGCTGTCATAGCATTAAGAAAAAACAGTTCTATAGTGACTGTGATGTGATTATCATCTAATTGTATTATGTATCATGTATTCTTGCAGTGTTTTCAGCCTATCATTTTCCAAGTTAATAGTATAATAAAGAAAAAGTATCATGGACATTAGCACTAGGGGGTTACCACTAATAAAGTAGTTACACACTCTCTTCTATTCAATCATTTCTTTCATACTAAAGGATAACGTAACAACAAATGTTCAGTCCATGTAACTGTCGACAATACGGTTAGTTTTCAATACTACTGATATCCTATAACTTTCTATTTACTGATAATCATAATTCTTCATTGTCATATTGAATTGAATTTACTTTAAATGTGTTGGTAGATAGACTCCTATATGAAATAGGAACATCATCACTCATTTGGTGCATATAGATCCTACTACTAAGTTCCAAATAGAACGAAACGCGCCTTTTCTATCCCACTACTAACCTCTAAGTAAATTACAGTGGAACTACTTAGTTTAAAAAAAATATAACACAAGGTGTTAATTTGCTGAAATATTTAATACTGAGAATTCCATACGGTGATAAATATATTGTCTAGAATAAAGTAATAATAATTTTGAGGTAGTATTCATCACGGATTGATATCAGTTAGGGAATCATTGAAAACTTGGGAGTACTGGACAACTATTTCATCCTAGTATAGAACTCCTCAACAGTACTCATCCACAACCTGACTAGAGATCGAACTTACGACCTGAGGAGTCTCATTCTAGAACGAAACATTTATCTGGTGCTTCCAGGTCTTCAATGGTTCTTCAACTGATGTCAGTCCTCAAAATTAAAATCCTCATTGACCTTATTAACGACATGCTTCCAGATGCATATCACGAAGTTCTACTGAGAAGCCGTGATCTGTGTGGCCAACCAGTCGGAAGTGAAGCGGATGCCATCTAAAGACCCTGCATGATAGTCGTGCTATATCATGAACCGATAGAATTTGGAAACTATGAACCACTGGATTCTGACCCAGTAGCCAAATGGTTAATGCGTTCGTTGTGAAACCTGAATGTCCTGAGTTCAATATCTGGCGCATCGGGTGGCGGGTGAGTAACGCTGAGAAGTCCCGCACTAGGACAAAACAGCTATCCAGTGTTCCCGGGTTTCCAACGGTTTTATTATTATTAACAGTATTAACTTGGATTCTAGTTTTTATAACCTGATCTATTAAAAACAACTAAATTACTAGCACATGTCATTTGAAAGCAATCAACTTACCACAGTAAGAATTTTGCGTAATAAAGTGGAACTCGGTGATACAATAACTTTTGTTTCAAAGAAGCTGTTTATCAACTGTAACTCTGTAGTATCCAACGTTTGACTGTTTCGATCTTCTTCACCTTCATCAGAAGGCGTCAATAAAGTGTTTTTTGACAAGACATCTTTTCCAAGTGATGTCAATAGATTGTATACTTGTGTATAACATTTATAATTTTGAGATAATTTCGTCTGATCTGATTGTCGATTAAAACGTTCCAAGTACTTGTACATTTTCCATACATGCTCTGAAGCGAAAGACGCCAATTTCTTTGCAATATATAACTCTTTAGACAAATCTTTTATTAGATTGTAAGCTGTACGATTATAAATTTGTAGAAAGGCTTTCTGCTGATACAGGATACCCAGTTGAACCTTGATTAGAGTAAATAAAAAAAAAGAGAAATGAAAATGTTAGTTATAGGTGTTAGTTGGAAGAAGTCTGTGCTTATTGGGTATCATAAGCGTTAACAAACTATGTCACTCACTGCCTTATTCGCAGACCTTTATCATCAAGCTATTCAGGTCATGACTGACCTCTTCAGGACTGGGGTAAGTCCATGAGTAGTACATGAGTGGGTAACCAATGTAGTTATCTAATTCTTTGTGATCAGCGCTGATTGGAGTCAGCGGATCAAATTTACAATATGACCTATAGGCTAAGTGATACGACATTGCAGTGTACTATATTTTGGTGTCAGCTGTAGGATATCAGTTAAGAGGAACTTCCATCAGCACGGAACACTGAGGACTAGACAGTAACTAATGAATAACTTGTGTGGCGGTGAAAGTATATACTTAGGAATGGTGTACTCGAATAAGACGAGTATCATAAACTAGCATCTTGAACAAGCTTACTTGAACGGAAATACTCTTTGTATGAGTTTACGAATTCCCTAGTATCAAGGTGGATTTATTCGTTAGCATAATTTCATAGAGAACTGAAGTAACCTAACTTCACATTGCCCGTTCATAGTAAGCAGTTGTTCAAATTCTTAATCAGATGATCAGAAACTGATAAAAAGAGAAGTCTTATAACTTAATTAACAAAGAGTTGGAAGAAGACTGTTGGTGTGATTCCCTCATTTCATTTGTTTTTCTGCAGTGAATGGTACCAACCAATTTAGTGGACACGCTGAGGTCTCGTGAGGAGGTTCTACGTCACGTTAAATAGCATTTCTTGCATGGTCGGGAGAATATAAAACAGAAATTTGTTCTTTAATATAGGATTACAACTTGCGCACTGCGGTTGATTGCGATTCCATTTTAGTCTGTTTATTAGAAATATCACACACAATCAAGAAACAGTATCATTTACTGGATAACGTTTCCGACACAAGTTATTGTCCATATTCATATCAGTTAATTAACTCCACAACTTTGAGAAAGAGTTTATATAGTACTAATCCTCTCTCCTTCTCTATGATGACAAGGGTAGTAAAATGTTCCATATATATGGGATGGGTAGGGTACAGAATCATTTTTATAACTGCATGTGTTTGGTGTTGATTCGATTATCAATCTCTCCCTGTCTCCATCCAACTAAGCTAGTTTTTAATACTGTCGCTCTATCCCCCACCCTACTATGTGGTTGTGTGTAATTGCTTACAGGGCTATAGCCTAGCTTTCTTTCTAAATTTCGTATCTTTTTAAGGATCTACTTAACTTGATTTAGCTAAGTTTTTGTGCTATGTTATTCTAATTGACTATGGTCGACTGCTTTGATTTATGTAGTTGACCTGGAAATCACTGCGAGGGATTTGGTGTTTTGAAGCGATGGGTTCGAAGTTTGAGTCGCAGTTGGGACAACATCACTCACTTGGGTGCTGATACATCCAGCAGAGGCTTTAAATTCTCGCTCAACTCTGTGACCATTATTACCATTAGTAGTAGAATTATTTTCAATGACATCTACCAATACTAATATTCTTCTTTGAATTTCTTATGGATTTATTTATAAATTTAGGTAGGTAATTATGTAGACGTAAGGTATTCTTAATATGCCTAACTTCTTGTCATAGATTTTCTGGTCTAAGCTTTTTCGCCCTATCACTAACTAAGGCTACTCTAAGTGAGATTGGGTTGGAGAATTTGAAGACTAAGTAGCTGTTCGAAGATTTTATTACCCTTGTCATCACAGAGAAGAAGAGGAAATTAGAAATATATAAAGTCTATCTCGAAGTTGTGGAGTTACTTACCTGATACGAATATAAACAGTAAGTTGTGTCGGAAACGTTATCCAGTGAATGATAGTGTTTCTTCCTTGTATGTGATATTTCTAATAAACATACTAAACTGAAATTTGTTCTTGTTGTTGTCATTCTGAATTACACAAGAACACCATATACAAAAATGTCTCTCTTTCAGTTTGAGATGTACATTAGGAAACTAATCTCTTGGCTCTTTGTATTCATTCAAATTAAAATGTTACTTCTTTTGATGTCAATATCTACCAATGGAATCACTACCGATAGATCGCCTCATTATGACTGTATTACAAGTTGTAATGAGATAGGTTTTGCATTTCAACTGCAAGTAGTAATGTGATGACCACTTTCTTTCATCAAGTGCCAACTAGTTATTACCGGTTTGATTATATGGACTCTTCTTATCAATGAACGCGTTGCTAATATTCCTTACTGAAAACTTTTGGATTTCACGTCACGTTACTGTGGTGATATTTTGTAATTACTCTAAGAGAACGTTTAAAATGTTTTCCAAAGATTCGTAATTTAACGAATTAAATCATATTTAAATCTGTTCAGATGCTACTTATGTCAGTAAAATGTTAGCGCCATTTACTGAGCCCATTCATTGTATAACCATTATTCATATTAGACAAAAGTTTCTGAGTAAATAAGATATTAGGAATCGGTAACAACGGACAGTGCGTAGGAGTGAAATGCAAGAAGTACTTTTCAATCTATTCAAGACTCGTCTGATGGACTTAATCCCCTCCCGCGGAGTGATGCTGTTCCCACTAAGATTCAAAACGAAAGCCGATCGTTTAAAACGCCAGAGGGTTATACGCTGTGCCAGTGAGTCATGATAGCCACTCCATGTTAAATGGGTATAGGTTTTATGTTATTACTTGTAATTTCTCTTTATTGACTGGAATGAAGTGATCGATTTATGTTGACATATGAGTTCCGGCGTATGTAACTCAGTAACCTAATGGACAATACCCTGGTGTTTAGGACGATCGTTCCTTGGCTTTGGTCTTGGTAGAAACAATGCCATTCTCTGACGAATATTTTTATCTACCTGACGAGTCCTGGATAGGACCATACACGCGTTTGGGATTGCACTGCTAGCCGCTATCCGTCATTACTATCAAGTTGAAAGTGCAGGCAATATCGAGTCATTTACATTTACATCTATGTCAATAGACACCAATCTGTTCGAACCAGTCAGCGACGGGAGATTACAGGGAATAATCTATTTTAATAAATAGTCTTATTGTTCTCATCCTCTCTTTAATACCTTCTTCGATAGTATTTTAGACGTTTCATGTGAATATACAATCCAACACTGGAATCATAAAGCCTAACTTCGGATGCTGATGTAAACTTCACGAAATAAAAGCATTCAAAATTATGTCAAACGCAAAACATTTCACTTTATATGTATTTAGTTGACGGCAACAAATTTTTCCAGTTGTATGAATTCACCAACATTTTTTGAAAAGAATTATTGTTGAGTTTAAGGATGCTTATTTTCGTGACTATACACAATTTCAAGTTAGTGTCCATCTAACACCAGTTGGATTATTATGATTATTATTTATCCCTTAGGTTCGTAGTGAAACATAGGGCTTCAGTAGCACACCTCCATTGCACCCCTTCTCTACGGTCTTTTCAACCTCACTCACCCACTGCCCACAAGCTCTCATCTCTTCCTCACATGACATCCTCCATGTCACCCTCATCTCGAACGCCCAACTCCTCGTTTCCCCTCTCGATTCCACTCGAGGGCCGGGCCTCGCCTGGCTCGTCATCTCCACGAATGGTCTTCTCAGTGTATGCACAATACAATCCATCTCCACATTCTGCTTCTCCATATTTGTTGGGTGATAGGTTCTCAGTTAATTCGTTGTCTGACCAGAGTTCCATGTTGCTTATTGTTTCTGGCCATCTGATCTTCAGTGAAAGCATCAAGTCAGCGTGGGCAGTTGTTGATGAATGTCTGTAGTTTGTTGGAAATGCTTTTCGCTACACACCAATTTTCTGAAACATATAGAAGCACTCATTTGACATTGGTGTTAAAAATCTGGATCTTGTTCTATGTGCTGAGCAGAGTGCAGTAGATCTCCACAATGATTTCAGATTAGTGAAAGCCTGTCTTGCTTGCTGTTCCGATCCTGGTTTTCACATCCTCGTCTGTGGCTGTACCATCTGTAGTTGAAACGATGCTGCTCTGCCTCGGTGGTGGATGAAAGAGACTACTTCCTTTAAGTTTCTCCTGTTGATGGTGATTGGAGCTTGTTGTTGTTGTTGTTGGTGGTGGTGGTGGTGTTGTTTGGGTATTTTCACCACCTCTGTCTTCTCTATATTCACTTGAAGTCCCGTCTTCCTTCGCTGCCCTGCCTCTTCTGTCAACTTGTTATTTTTCGCCTGTAGATCTTCCAGTTTGTGTGACATCAGACACAAGTCATTGGTGAAATGCAAATCTTCTTCTGGGGTCTTTTCCCCTGTCCAGTCAGCATATACCCATCTTCTCGCTTCTCACAGTTTGTTGCATGTTCCAGTCCACCACAACACAATCAGGAGTATCCTGGGTGATAGTAGACAGCCTTGTTTTACTCCTGTCTTCACTTCACTTCAAAAGCATCACTGAGCTTTCCATTGTGGATCACTTGGCATGTGGCGTTTTCATATAGATGTTGAATGAGGCTGGTAAAGGTTTGTGGTATTCCGTAGTGTTGAAGCAACTGTCAAATTAAGAGGTGGAGGAACACTGAAAATCTGGGAGCATTGGACAGGTGTTTTTTCCTAGTATGGGACTCCTCAGTAGTGCACACCCATGGTCCCGCCCCACTAGGGATCTAATACAGGACCTTTAGGTTCCGTGGCCAGCATGTTACCACTGAGCCTTGGAGTCGGAATCCAATAGTCTATATTTCAACTTCTGTAAGTTCACGACATGGCGCAACCATCACCCAATGTCATCGTTAAGTATGTACAATTTCATCGGAAATAAATTATTGCAGACAATCGATAGGGGTTATTTTACGCTTGTAATTTATGCTTGCTAAAATATCGTTGAAAATTAATTTAAGGCTGTGAATAAGCTCATGAAATGTACAATATTCAACCTGACTTATTTTAACGTATATCCTTGACACATATCCTGTGATTTTAAGTGACCGTCTCAGTTTTAGCTCCAACAATATCTTGACAAAGATAGTGGAATTTTACACCGATAGATTCTGATTAGATCTTACAATATCCTGGTCGCAAAATCTGACAGTCTTGAACTCAATTCCTTTCGAGTTTGTTGATATATTCGATACTGTAGAGTTGAAAACTAGGAACATTCATTTGTATAATGCTCCCAGATTTTCTGTTATTCTCCAAATGATATCAATACGTGATAGAAGCCAATTTATCCTGATAAATTACCAATTAAATCTCATATAACACATTAAAATATAGAATTATCTAGCTTAGCGGTCTTTTCTTTGTAATAATTCTTTAAGATAACCTCTGTAGATGAAAGTTGTTGACATCCAGGAATTTAATTCTTGTTAAACATCAAATATATAATATATTATTAGCTAAGAATAAGCTTTTGTTTGTTTGCTGTTACTTTTTTTTTCTCTTCTTGCATAAGAAAGTTTATTTGGTCGCAATTTTCAAAGCTGAATTTTGACTGAGCATACAAGCATACACTGATAAAGATATCAGTAGTAAAATGGTGTTAGACGTGAATTTCAAGGTGGATTGTAACTAAAATACTTTCATTATACATTTATTTAAAGAACGGAAATAAAATTGTTTCAGTCAGTAAAAAAAAAATTATTCACAACATACCTGTATACATATATACATTACATAGTAATAGGTGGGCAGTATTGAGCAATCTCATAGTTAAATTAATATCTACCAAGAAATATCAAAAAAGAACATAGATTCCTTCGGTAGGTATCTATTTCTAATGTGAAATTTGTTAAAACTTTGAAACAGCCTAACTATACACGGCAGTTTGAGTCGTTATTTTAAAAATGTCTTATTAAGTTAATTTTGTTGTGGTAGAAATTTGTTTAGTTGGAAGGCAAGTTTGAACAAAGCATATTTACAAAAGGTTCATATGTGAAGTTAATTATCTCACAAACTGTTCCATAGAGAACTGATTCGAATAAGAACTTGAAACATCCAGACAAATATATATATATATATATGTTTAGGTAGACTTTTGAAAATGATTAATCATGCCTTCATGAAATTTAAGTTGCTAATGTAAAATGATGGTCTGTATTTCGGTAAGCCGATCAATTGACCGATGGCGTTTTTCTCTCAGAAGATATTTTCAATGGGGAAGAGGTGTAAATAAATAAGAAGTGGCAAGTGAACAGAAGTTTTACGCTTAAATATAGTGTGAGCTGGTATTCACTACGGATTTTTAGCATCGATTCGATGTCATACATATGTTTCACATGATATAAGTCCAAATTGGTATTGATAACAGTTAGCTAGTAAGCTTAATCATGAACTCATTTGTCTTTGAAAGCATCAAATAGCTGAAGCGAATAGTAATAATAATAATAGTAATAATAATAATAATAATCAAAATGTACAACTTACTGCAGTACCATTCCGTCTAAACAAATTAACATTGAACTTTTGTAACAAGTGTATCTGAATAGGTAACTTCTCTAATTGAACAACTGATTGTATATGAAATGTTGAGCATAGATCTGTTGAATAGAGGAAAGTATTTAAAAAAACAACAGAAGAATATTATAACTTTGAAACCTTGATACTATATAGATGACTATATCATATCCAACTGTGTATATCAAATGACATGTGGATAGTAATGATGGCTAGTGGCCAACAGTAGAATCCAGGATGTGCATTTCGTCGTAGTTGGGACTCGTCAGCTGGATGTACCTGTCTCCCAGTGAGTGATGTTGTTCCCACCGGGATTTGGACTCGGAAGCGACCGCTTCAAACGTGAGAGAGTTATTCACTACACCATCATTACTACACATAATTAAAATACAGGCAATATCGAAGCATTCACACAGGAGCCCATATGCCAACAGAGACTGATCAATTCGGTCCAATCAACGACGGTGTAATACAAGCAATAACACTAAAATCACATGTGAATGTTTGAACAATGCAAGAAAAAGACATTTACAGAATAAAATGAGCACATTTTATTTCACAACCTTTCATCAGATACAAACGGCCTACATTTGAAGTGAATTATTAGTAGTAATAATAACATAACATACTTTAAACGCGCAGAAATAAATGTAGACTTGAAATTCAAGATTAGTAATAAGGTAGTGAGTCAAGGAAACACAAATGATTTGTAGTTACAAATCTTAGACGAAATCTATGGCAATTTATATCTGTTGAGATAGAAAATTCTGGAACTATGGAGTTCGGAGGGGGACAACAAACGAAAATCAGTGTATAAGAAGGGACTGTCTAAGAGCTAATAGGTTATGTAATTACATGAAAAACCTGAAAATCGTTAGGTGATTAATAGTCAGTAAGTAATTAATGAGGAGATGATTCAATCTAACCTGACCTACGTACTCGGAGGAGACTGTAATTAGTCTTTCTTTACCTTAGTAACTATATATAAATTTTTTTTAATGTGCATGTATATAGTTTTCCCTTCCCTTTTGGATTGCATCATCTTTTCATCAATTACTTACTGACCATTAATGACCTAACGATTTCCAAGTTTTTCCCGTGATTGCGTAACGCATTAGCTCTTAAACAGTCCCTTCATTTACACTAATTTTCTTTTGTTGCACTCCGCACTCTACAGTTCCAGAATTTTCTGTTTCATCAGACATAAATTGCCAGTGATTTTGAGGAAAATTTTTTCACTATTAATGCTTTGTTATCTTCCTGATTGCAGTTGACTGGATCACGCTGCAAACTGTGAGAAGCGAAAAGATGGGTATATGCTGACTGGACAGGGGAAAAGACCCCAGAAGAAGATTTGCATTTCACCAATGACTTGTGTCTGATGTCACACAAACTGGAAGATCTACAGGCGAAAAATAACAAGTTGACAGAAGAGGCAGGGCAGCGAAGGAAGACGGGACTTCAAGTGAATATAGAGAAGACAGAGGTGGTGAAAATACCCAAACAACACCACCACCACCACCAACAACAACAACAACAAGCTCCAATCACCATCAACAGGAGAAACTTAAAGGAAGTAGTCTCTTTCATCCACCACCGAGGCAGAGCAGCATCGTTTCAACTACAGATGGTACAGCCACAGACGAGGATGTGAAAACCAGGATCGGAACAGCAAGCAAGACAGGCTTTCACTAATCTGAAATCATTGTGGAGATCTACTGCACTCTGCTCAGCACATAGAACAAGATCCAGATTTTTAACACCAATGTCAAATGAGTGCTTCTATATGTTTCAGAAAATTGGTGTGTAGCGAAAAGCATTTCCAACAAACTACAGACATTCATCAACAACTGCCCACGCTGACTTGATGCTTTCACTGAAGATCAGATGGCCAGAAACAATAAGCAACATGGAACTCTGGTCAGACAACGAATTAACTGAGAACCTATCACCCAACAAATATGGAGAAGCAGAATGTGGAGATGGATTGTATTGTGCATACACTGAGAAGACCATTCGTGGAGATGACGAGCCAGGCGAGGCCCGGCCCTCGAGTGGAATCGAGAGGGGAAACGAGGAGTTGGGCGTTCGAGGTGAGGGTGACATGGAGGATGTCATGTGAGGAAGAGATGAGAGCTTGTGGGCAGTGGGTGAGTGAGACTGAAAAGACTGTAGAGAAGGGAATGCAGTAGAGGTGTGCTACTGAATTCCTATGTTTCACTACGAACCTAAGGGACGCAATAATTATATAATAATAATAATACCAGCTTGTAAACCTTGGTTCTTATATTTCAGTTTATAGAATTTAATGCTGCTCTGATCTCAGTCTCATGTGATGATTTTTTTATAATTTTTCTGGGATACCTTTTGTGCACCAAGGCGGGGTAGAAGATTTGAATTTTTCTCTTTTTATGATTCCTATGGTTCTTATTGCCTATGTTATTACTAACTACATTTTCTTTTCTTTATGTCTAAGTTGAAGAAGTTATGCTCAACTGGTAAATACGATGCACCACAATGATGAGTGAACTTATTTGGCTTCGTAAATGCTTTTTTATTCGCTGAATGAGTAATCTTAAGATTCAGGAAACCTTAGACGAATCACAATGGGAACACATCTAGTCGATGAGTCGTGAACAGGTTAAGATGAACCTCTTGGATCTAACACCTAGCGACCACTACTTAGACTTTAACATTAGAAGATTTAGGCTGTAAGCGTTTGATTACATATTGGGAAGTATATGAAAAAGGTGTGAACCTAAACGTACCTTCGTTATTTGATCCCAACTGATTTCCCTTTTCGAAAGAATTTTGTTGCTTTAAAATTTTTTTTAGAAAAATAAAAAAATAAACTTTTAATTTGATGGTCATGTTGAAAAGTAATATCGAAATTCATTGTAGCATATGTATACATCAAATTAGAAAAGATATGCGAGATTGCTAGATACTGGGACTTGATCCACAGGAAGCACTCACCAGCAAGCGGTTTTCGAAATCATGAAGAAACTTATGTCTTCTGGTTAAGTTGAAACTGCATTGCTCAGTGATGAACAAACAGAGTTAACTATTGAGTTTTTCAGGCTACAACTGACCTCTCCGAAAAGTGTGATATTAACACTAGCTGCTTACCATAGGGTAAGTCATGTAGCCACACAATCTTTCACACTCAGGAATGATCGAGGTCTATCAACCAGCGTTTAGCACAAAAAGTTGGACAGCTCCATTGATTAACAACTCATGATCGGTTCTCATACTGGAAAATTTATAGTTTTATCATCGAAGGGTTCGTTTTATCACTTGTTAAAAATAATAACACAAATCCCAGAACCTGTAAAACAGCTTTATGCTAAGCTGACTTCCTTTTGCTTGTCAGCAGACGCTTTTCCTCACTCTAATTTCTAGGCAAACGTTATACATATTCTTTTATCTTATGGTAAACTTTTGCTACTATGCAGTAGTGAAATATTCTGCGCTTTACGAAAGTACTCGTTTAAGAAGTCCGCACCACCATCTGTCAAATGTTACCACGAAACCGGTTTCTATTTATATAAAATGTAACAATTAAAAACAAATAACCTGAGTTGTCAGTTATCTTATGCGACTAAGAATGCATGTTAAACCTGGTAGAATAATCGTGAGTACCACGTTGGTGTTACTTAGAGACAGTGGTTCACTTTCCCTGTCATCGCGAAATCGGCCAAATTCTTCCTATTGAGCTGGATAATATTCTTTTCTAACTAAACTGCTGAGTGAGAACAAATTTCTCAGCAGAGGATCGTACAAGGTGCGCGACCAACTCATATCATCTCATTCGTAATGGCAAAGTCTCTAAGGTTATCTTTAAAAATCGATAATTAGACAGTCATTGAGTTAAGGACTTTTGATCAAATATTTTCTAGTTGAATATATTATCCTACTGAAGTCGGATAAATGCAAGGCGTTATTCTTCTAAATAGATGTCATTAAGAGGGAAGTGTATATATAGATTTAAAGAAAATGTCAAATGGGAATCAAAGCCAGTGGAGCATTCTCCACAACCTAACATACACAAACAAATCAGCAATATGAACTGATGAAATCAGTCAATCCTAACAAATAACTGGTTAGCCAAGTGCCTGTTCGTAAACTGGTCCCAAGATATCTCCCTGAAACGTGAATTTGGATGCTCACACATAGAATTGAGAAGAACTACTGAAGAGAGATGATGGATTCGTGTCTACCTGCATGTCCATCGAGCATAACATCAAGACATTGACGAAACAAGATCCTGCTTACTAAATTGAAATACGGCTGAGTGGAAGTAGTTAGGGATTTTAAGTAAGTTTCTAGTATTTTAGCACTCAGAAAACCAGGGCAAAGCAGGGAGTGACACCTAAAGAATAAAATGCCATCACTTAACTTCATGAATACTTTTTAGCTGCATACAGTCCAAAAGTACAACCCTTTTAACACAAGAAATATTTCAGAATGAAGAAATTAGTAGTCTCAAGTTGTACAACAAAATCACTGATAATCCATATAACATGTGAGAGAACGACTAATCATCCAGAGGTAAGAAGCGTAAGAAAGGAAAATTAGTAGTAGATAAGTAAATACAGTTATGTAATTACAATGAAACCAGTTTAAATGATATTTACTAAGGAGTAAGAAATTATTCAACACTCTCCTCCTGTATGTAAAGGTCAGATTGAAAGCGTTTCATCACAATCTTTCCCACGATACGCCCTAATCCAGATATTCAATGTATGTTTATTACTTGAAAAGTAGTCAAGGTTTCAACCGTTTGGTCTGTGTCTACGAGGTGTCTGGCAATTATACTGCTTCGAAGTTCACTACCTTTCAACTACAGATTCTTGGAAGTATGCTCAGTGATGCTAGTAGGTGTCTTCCTCTCAACCCTTTCAATGTACTCACAACCACAGGTGTGCATATGTATACATCAATACAGTTTTAGATGATATGAACAGGGTAATTATCCAATTTTGACTGATTCAGCGAGCGTATGGTATTGCATACTGATATAAGTCTAGCTGTGAGGAAACTTCTTTTCAGAGCTCCTCTGATTTTTGCATTTATTTACTTGGATAATGCACCTCCCTTGAATGTAAGGTGTACAAAAACCTTCTTGTTTTTTACAGTTTCGGTGTTCATTTCTCTCGATCTATCTTTTTCCGTAATTCATAACAAATCTGTTAAGGTTTCCTTTCTGTTAGAGACACGTCTTAGTATTGAATGTTTAGTTTTTTATCTAACGTGTTTGGAGAACATATGTTCCTAACGTTGTTATAAAGCATTTTGACTACCCCGAGCTTATAGAAACTGCTATAATTAAGGTATTGTCCGGTTCATGTATCTTTCTTATGGATGGTCTGTTCAATCATACTATCAGTTTTTCTTCTCACGGTGAGGTCCAAATCACTGAACTTGTTCTCGTGATCATATTTCATAGTAAATTTATAGTTAGGATCAGCCTAGCTGAGGTTGTTAAAAAACTCATATGTGTATTTCATATCACTGAAATCAACAAAGGTTTCGTCAATATATCTAAGATTACAGGTTGTTTGTGTGGTGGTTGGACTCTGGTGCATCTTTTCGAAATAACGGATGAAGACATCTGCTAGGAAAGGTCCTACGGATGAACCCAGTGCCATTCCATCAATCTGTTTATCAAGATGTTGACTGTTAATGTCAACCAACCTTAGAGACTCACCGTATTTCCCAATCCTTGAAACTTACTGTTACATCCTAGTTATTTAACAATTTTACAGATTCTTAAGTGTCTAGTTACGAAAATTATGTGCTTCTAAATTCTCAGTTAATTCTACACCTTGAAGCGTTGACAACTCTTTTCATTCTTTCTCATTCTTGTTGATTTTTATAACAAACATAATATGAAAATTTCTTTTTGTAACGAAAGATTTCTCAAGAATTCAATCAAATTTCAATTTATCATCTAGTGAATGAAGAATAATTTATATTGTGGTTACGAAGTTGAATAGACGCACCCACACTGATGAGTGATGTGGTGGTTTTAGGCAATGGAAGAAATATTTTCATGTGTCTTGATAGTCACATGTATTGTTGCTCACCTAGTATGATAATATATACTGGGAATATTTGTTAATATGATTATTTGTAATCAAATAAAATAGCGTTCTTCTTAGGCCATAATCATTTCAGTTCATGGAGAACTTCAAGACTGTTCCATGAATGTATGTGGACAAGTGTGTGTATATATGTATGATGACAGTGATGCGAGAAGCGAAATTAGATGGGTATATTGATTAGCGAGAGCAGAGAGTTAATTGTAAGCTTTTTAACTTTCCTCTTCATTGAGTTTGTCGTTTAGAATTTGCCTTTTCCAGAGCATTCATAATCGGCTGTTTCTAATTTTAGCTATTAGCTATGCAGGTTCGAATTATTGAAGGAGCAACAGTTCCTTCATGTTTGCAAATACTCTGTGTTGATTAGTGCCAAAAAGAGCGAAACTTGCGTGCAGCCTTGCTGGCGATTGGATCCAACCATTTAATGCGTTCACAACCTTTTCTGCCTTAAAGTTGATATTCATCATGGAGAATCATTGAAAACCTCGGAGCACTGGACAGTTGATCCATCGCTGTATGGGAAGCCTCGATAGAGGGCGCCCATGAATCTACCCTGGTATTTCTAAACACGACAATTCAGATGACGTAAACAGTGTTACCTTCTGAGTTAAATTTGTCATCGTCATCATCATGAAGATCAACATTGGACCAGGCGTTACTGCATAACCGTCCAAGTTTCCACATCTCATATCAGCACATCAAGTAACAAGATAATGAAATGGAAGATAAAGAAGAAAATAAAAACCAACCAAGGGAAGTAGAAGTAGGAGTAGAAAGTGGTAAAAGAGAGGGAGAGAGAATGAGATGATGAAATTTAGTGTAGTGGTTAGGATGAGGACAATGTATGTATATGTCTGCGCCACTGACATCGGTTCTGAACCATACCACTTAGTCTCCACCCACTGGTTTCTCTTGTCCCGTGAACCCCAACGACCCAGTCGGCATCGCCCCACATGACTCAAACCAACGATCAAGGACTTCATGCATTGGTACCATGTTTTAGTCTTGCCTCCCCGAGCCTTTTTCCAACTGAACCTACTTCGGTTAACACTGTGTAGCAAGGCAGAGAGTGGCTAGACATTCGTAACACATGTCCCAGCCAGACATCTCAGTCAATGAAAGTTCACAACAGAATCAACTGACTTACCCCCCCCCCCCTAAAACTCTATACCTGACTTCTGCGTTACCCACCTGGTGACATCATGACACACTACGGCCTATACTACCAAGGCAGTGGTGGTCAAACCCTTGAAGTCTACTGGTGTCTTCTACCTTTAATAGCTATGTTTCACAGTCATATGGTGGAACAGAGTCAACAGAAACACGGTACGCTCAACTCTGAATGGACAATTGGATATAGCTGTGGCACCACAGATAGCGTAAGTTGACAAAAGCCAACTGAGCCTTTTGTTTGCGTGCAGAGATTTCGTCGGCCACAGACCAATCAGAGCTGATCCGACTTCTCAGGTAAGTGAAGTGTTCAACGTGCTGAATTAATTCACTCTATACTGTTAGTTGGGGTACCGTCGAAGACCAGTCCTGGAGTAAGAGTTTGGACTGAGGTGGCGAAAGGTTTATCTTGAACATTCTCAAACTGCCACTCAAAGTGTCCGGAAGACTCTGCATCCTTTCATGTTCTTCACCTAACGGGACTACATCATCTTTGTATTCAGGGTCTACCAGCAATTCTCCTGTGGTTAGGTCAATTCCTAAGTAGTCAGATAGCGAGAGGGAGACCTCCATAAAAATGTCTGTGATAAAATCGAATAAGAATGGAAAGAGTGGGCTTCATTAATGGGCAGCAGTCAACACACACAACTCACCCGACATCGGGGTTGACTTCCTTTCAGAGTGGATTAAATACATCGATTTGACGCTGAAGATCAATCAATTTCATTGTGTTTAGTCTTCAAGGGATGACCGAATTCTACCGACTTTTACATGCATGTATATCACTTTGACCAACTGAGATAGCCGTAGTTCGGTAGACTAGTATTAATACTGGGTGATGGTTGGATGTGAAATGGAAATTTTGATCGCTACTGGATTCGAACCCGGCGATCGCTGGATCGAGTCCGGCCGTGGTTTAGATTTCCATTTCACCTTCGATCATCATTCGGTATCAATACATGTCTATGCATATATGTATATACTACTCACTACTTACTTGTATGTTGATAAATGAATGAAACTTTGGACCAATAATAACTGACTGATCATAGTCGCTAAGATCACCTGACTGTTGATTGATACAATTCCCATTTTGTACAATCAGATAAAATCCTACATATCCTTTATTTGGTATTATGTAATCATATTCTTGTGGATCCAAAATTAACTTTAATTCTGCAGCTGTGAAAGACAAAACACAAAATAGAAAACAATTTGATCAGTTATCAAAACAAACAGTTAACTGAATGACTTTTAGATGCATAAAATTAAAACATCGGTGAATGATATCATTATGTATACGGAAATGACTTTGTGTTGGGAAGGTGAACAGTCCCGATGATTGAAAATATCTTACATGATTGTTTAATGAGGACGGCGATCAGGTTCAATCATATATTCAGAACGGGTGATTTCCCGTTGTTATATTCTGTCAACTTGCTTGACCTCTGTTGGCAGATGGGGTTTGAGGCGGATGCCTCCATGCTGTTTGGATATTCATTATATTGTAGTCTGCTTATTGACTAGCAGTGAAATTCAGGGAGCGCATTTAAGCCCTATTTGTGCCTCATCAGCTGAATGTACCTACACGCTGGTTAGTGAAGTTGTTCCCACTAAGATTCATACCTCGTATCCATCGCTCTAAACGCTGAAGTGTTGTTCACTAGGTCCCTGGGTCACGATATCCACCATTTATTGAATGAGTGTTAGTTTTTCTTTATTGATAATTGTAGTATCGCGTTGCTATGCTGGGTTGAATTGCTTGACCTTTGTTGATAGATATGAAACTGGAAATTACAGGTATCAATCAACAATGACTGATAATCGTTGCACAGAAAGTGGCTATCATGCCCCATTAGCCTAGTGGGTTACGGTAGGGCTTTTAAAGCGATGCATACTGAGTTTGAGTTTCAGTGGCAACAAATTCACTCACTAGGGTGCAGATATATCCAGCTACCGAATCCAAAATAGAACGAAACGCATGTTTTAAATTCCACTGCTAATAACCAAGCAGGCTGCTAAAGGTGGTTGTGTTTCTTGACTCATTAAAATACACCACGATGAAATTGTATGAAGTTTTATTTTCATTGCAAAGTCGTTGATCAAGGCGACATCTTTGTTTTCTAATATCGGCTTTTAGATTAACCTTTACTTGTTACACATCACTGAAACAAGAGACCGTATAGCAGTCATAAATGGCGTTTTTGATCTAGAATCTAAAGTTGTGGCGTATGAGCAGTAGAGAAATTCAGTGTTAAGGGAGAATATACTAGGGAAAACGGTTATATATTATTTACCAGCGATTGGTGATCGGATGTATTACCTACTGGCAGATGACCAAATATCACATCTCAATATGATGAACTTCAGTAGTGCAGGTAAATCATCGTGTTTTACCATTTTCGTTATGCATCCAAATGTATTTATATTACACTCCTATCGTCTGTTAACGTGAAAGTGGCTTCCAACTTGAGCAATATAATTAATTTTTATTCACTCTAAGGAGACAAGTGACATTGTGAACTGATCTCCTTTCTTACCTTCATAGAAGTGACCTAAATTAGAGTTTATCTTCTGGTTAATAGCTGATTAATCCAAACGACATTTTCATGTATGACACATTTTCCAAGATGAACTAACAAGTAGTTCAGCGAAGCAACTCATTTCGATGATTTCATTCACTAAGCTGTACAGTCGCATTTATAGACAATTTTAATTGTTGGTAAAAATGTATTATTTCTCTGTGATGTGTGAAAGCAGTTAGTCAAGCAAGGCAACAGGCATATTGATACATATAAAAAGAGGAATATTATATTCTTGAGATTAGTGGGGATTTTAATTCTAAGGTGGTATTCATCACGAACTGATATCATTTTGAGAACTAATGGAAGCCTAGAAGTAGTGGACAGCTGTTTCGTCCTAGTGTGGGAATCCTCAGCGGTATGCGTCCACGACTCAGATGGGGATCGATTAAGGAACTTCAAGTATCATGACGAACGCGTTAGCCATTCAGTTATTGGGTCGAAGTTCCAGTATATGAATGGTTAAAGCGTTAAACTGTTTTGAACTGAAAGTATGCTGTTCCTTAGATTAGTGAGTATTGTTCAAAATGTCATAGAAATTAAATGAAGGTGATTGGTTTTTAATAACCAGTTGAGTAACATGATACGATATTAAATGAACAAAGTATTATCAAGTTAGCCATGGGAACAAGCAATAGTTGGTGATATATCGCAAATGAATAGAATAAAAGAGCTAGAAGGGGAAAGGGAATGTTTCGAAACCATGAGAGAAGCAAGCGTTGAACAAATTTAATTTTGAGTGCAAAGTTTCGGTTTTTCTATTTGAGATGCTTCAAAGGAGGCGGATGCGCTCTGAATTTGGCTAATATCTTTTCATATTGTAAATAACTTTGAAAGAGACCGTTATTGTGGTTGAACAACCAGTATCGATAAGTTTTTCCACTATCACACTTCTTATAAAACCTCTATTACATCTTTGTGGCCAGGCAGGATAGTGTTCTTGAATCCCTTTCTTCAGGACCCACGTTGAACGAACGATATACTCAGCTTTATGCCAGCAGGTGAACTGATACAAACACGCATATAGAGATGGCTAGAAGCCAAATCTTTTGTATCAGGTTTTTCGAAGCAAAAAGCAACTAGGGGATAGTACTATGAAGTCAAGGTTCATATACAACATCTTTTTTCATGCTGAAATTGAGTAATGTCTTGAGGGTTTCACTTTGCTGGATATCCATTTTTCAACCAAACGCTTCCTTTGAATGTTAATCTCTTCCTCTGTAGCAACTAGGCTACATATGGATCGGATACGAATAGAAAGGGATATCGGTAATTTTCTCTTACGACCAGTAAATACCCAGTTGTAGAAATCTGTCAGTCGCTCATTCCATATGAGATGTCTCTGAATAGACCTCTTCAAAGTTCCATCAAACTTTCTTGCTAGTTGTACATCAGAATAAGTAATTTTCGTTACCTTTTCTACTTGAATAGTGAATTTTATCGCTACAATTTCATTATTACCATTATTTGTCCCTTGGGTTCCTAGTGGAACATACGGCTTCAGTTGCACGTCTCCATTTCACACTCTTCTCTGCAGTCTTCACTACCTGACTGTACAACTGTCCACAACCTTTCATTTCTTGGTTGGTTTGTTCCCAGAGTTCCCTTCGCTTATTATTTCTGGCCATCTGATCTTCAGCATCCAGCCAGCGTAGGCGGCTGTTAATAAATATCTGTAGTTTGTTGGAAATGCTTTTCGTAATGTCACAAGTCTCTCATCCATCACACAGAAGCACTGACTGACTTGACTGAATTAGTGTTGGGAATCCGGATGTTGTTCACGCACGCCTCATGCTGAGTGGAGTGGAGTGGAGTTCAGTTGATCTCCACACTGATTATTTCAGATTGATGAAGGAAGGTCTGTCTTGGTGTTTTTCCAATCCTGGCTGCTGTGGCATCCTGATCTGTGCCTGTGCCACCTGTATTTGAGATGATGCTGCCTAGGTAAGTAGGTAAGTGAAAGAGACAACTTCATTTCGACTTATCCCGCTGATGTTTATTTGCACTTGTTATCGTTGTTGTTGTTGTCGACTGGGTATCTTCATCACCTGTGTCTTCTCGACGTTCACGCGAAGGAAGTCCCGTCTTCCTTCCCTGACCTGCCTCTTCTGCCAACTTGTTGGTTTTTGCCTGTAAATCTTGGAGTATGTGCGACATGAGACAGAAATCATCGTTGGCAAAATCCAAATCGTCTTCTGAGGTCTTTTCATCGGTCCAGCCAGTGTATGGCCATCTTCTCGTTCCTCAGAGTTTCTTGCATGATCCAGTCGACGGCAATCAGAAAGATGGTCGGTGATAGTAGGCAGCCTTATCTCTTTACTGTATTCACTTCAAAGGCGTCACTGAGCTTTCCATTGCGAACCACTTGGCATATAGCATCATATAGCATACAGCTCCTGTTGAATGAGGTTGATAAATATTTGTGGTACTAATATCGCAGTGTTGAAGCAGTTTCCAAATTACTTGCCACTCGACGCTATCGATGGCATTTTCAAAGTGGATTAAGTTGAGGTAGAGGCATTCAGGACTTCTGCTTTTGTTGGAGGGCTTGTGTTCACTGATAGTTCTGCGGTTGCTGGTGGTATTTCTGGACGAGTAGGTCTTGTTCATACATGGTGCGGACATTCCATATCCCCAATCTTACTTTCGCTTTCATCGAGAGAAAACACATTTGGCCAATTTGCTTCCCGATGGCTTTCACCAACCAGCGTCATTTCGTTTCCTCGATTCCAGCGAGAAATAAGTTTATTTTTATCTTTTATATTTTCTTTGTGCTTTAAAGTTTCTTTAGCGGTTGGATTGGTTTTGCGGTGTAGGGTTTCTAACTCTATACCCAAATTTTTTTCTCTATTCGGGCTTAAGACCTGCTGGTAACTAATGAACTAGTTAACCATGCGAGGACATATTCTCCTTCAAGTGATTATTCAAATGAGTTAGCGTCGAAAAGTATCTTTGTCTTATGAGATTCTATTTAACTTGCTCATGGCTCTTGCAACAGACTAAGCACTTCTCTCTGTCTCACCTGCAGTACCTTAGGAAATGTGGATAGTCTTCATCCTGAACTAAGGTTATTTGAAGTAATGCTGAAAATTATTCTACACAGGGTAGGTACTTCACCACAATTACGAATCCTTTGACAGTAACCACTCCGTCTCCTCTTATCACATTCACAAATGAATCTCAGTTTATAAGTCGAACAGCTATGCACTACTCAATACCAACTTGGATTAAAAACATAAATAGTTTAAACTTTTAGTGAAAAGTGTAAAAGTTTTCACCTAATGAAATCAGAAATGAAAATGAAATTCTATCGATAAATTTAACAGAAAAATTGAATAGCATAACATACACTTATATGATCAGACGTCTCATGAATTCAGTCGTTCAACTCAGAGCCATAAATTTAATTTGCATAAATGATTTAAACCTACATGGTATCTTTTGAAATGAATTCACAAATTTTCATGTTTCACTTTCATTTTTGTGTATATGTTAATATAACCTAGTTTCAGTGTAATGACTGATTTTCATTACTGAAATTACATTGACTGATGAAATGAATACAAAAAGAGAAATTCCAAGAAAGCGATAAAGAAATGT